CTGAAGGACTTAATTTGCACTGATTAAGCTGGCATTAATTTAGTTCATATATTTATGCTTATTAATTTATTATATTCAAGCTTCCCCAAGTTCATCAATCGATTCGTTACGCAATGTGGTACAATCCTACTTTTTTTGGTTAGAAAACTTGTAGTATTTCATTAAAGAAACAACTCATTGGGACAATCATTTAGAAAAGCTTCACAAGCAAATTAAAGACCCAACTGTATCGTATACCAATAATTAACAGATAGGACAAGGGACACGCTGCGGCTAGTGGTTGAGATTTTGGGAGAAAATTGGATTTACACAATTTATCAAACACTATTGCATGCCTAACAACAACAAGTAACAAACCACTTGGTTAGATCTAAAATTTAAATAAAATTAACTAAAGGTGTTAGTGCTTGTGTTAGTACTTATTTGTTTTATTTCTTAAAAGTTAAGTAAAAAATTATTATAAAATTATATTTTTTTTAATAAAGTATCATAATGCAAAAAAAAAAAAATTGAAGGACAAAAATTATGCAAAATTTTAAAGTTAAGAGACCAAAATTAATTCATAACCTTAAAACATGATGTTTTAACTTTTTTTTTTAATGAAAATTTATTAAAATTATATAATTTTGAGATATATATATTTTAATTTTTAAAAAGTAAGATAGGTGGATAATTTTTTTCTTTTAAAAAAACAAACAAACTTATTTTAGCCCAAATATGAAAAGCCCGTATCAGAGGCCGAACTAGATTTGTCATGGACAAAGGCCTGCAGCCCTGTATTTGATGTATGATCATAGCAGTGGGCTGATTGCGAAGTGGGGAGTGTGGTTAGTGGTTTCGTTTGTCGTTAGTAACAATGGACTTCAAAGTTCAAACCCATATCCAACTGAAAAAATTGGTCCAAATTACAACTATGGGCTAGAGCATGTTTATTTGATTTTTGACATCTAAATTGTTTTTATTTGGACTTTGAATGAGTAGAAGGCTCAAAATGCATTTAGCGCTTCAAATGCACCATCCATGGAACCTGTCTAAGAAATTAGTTAATATTAATTACCTAGATTTGAACTTTGAATATTTACCATTTGACTCAAAAATTAAGGGCCTGAAAGCAACTAGCTAAAAGCTAAATTGCGGCTAGCTAGGTTCCATGCATTGCATCAAGTATATAAATCCAAAAAGGTTTTTAAAAAAATTAATTATCTTCAATACATCACAATAATACGAGATACATGTTTAAATTTACTCAAAAAGTGATCACACTACAAGAAAATGAATATTTTATGATAGTAAAATTAATTTTAAGGTGTACAAAAACTAATCTTGAAGTAAAGACATTTAACCATTCAAATCAAAAAAGAAAAAAAAAACTAATAAATATATAATTCGGAAGTCAATCTTGAAGAAAAAGTATATTGAGTTATGGAGGCTAGATCTCTAACATACAAAAAGAAGTTGCACTATTTAAAACAAATGAATTGAAAGCATCCTTGTCTTGGATGTACAAAAAATAAATTAAATCATCTAATAATGATTCAAATGTTTGTTGCTAGGTGATCCGTATAAATATCTCACCAAGAAAACACAAAATAGAATATCAAACCAAAAAATAAATAAATAAACATATGAAAAAAACTATGTGATTCGACCCTAAGCCTTAAATACTTGGTTGAGGTGGTTAAAGCTTCAAGTTCTACCACCGTCGTGAACTCCACCAACAACGGCATGATGGCCGTGCGTCTCATTTGAGAGAGTGAAATGTTCACCCGATCTGAAGATCGAATCCCCAGTTGTTAACAACTAATTCAAACTAACTTCCTAACCATTATCTTTTGTAAAAAAAAAAAAGAAAAAAACTATGAACAATAAACAATCATTCATTGGCAAAAGGCCTAAAGCTACAGCAATTACCAAAATTCCTCTGTCTCTCAATATTCCGGAAGGCCTTTGATGAAGTCAAACACAGAAGGTGATAGCACCGAGTTACTCATATTGCTTGGCGATGAGATTGCAGAAGAATTTGCATATCTGTACATAAGCCTCGGAGAGAAAAAGAAGTTCATCGAATTCGGGGTAAACAGAGGCATATCTTGGAAAAGCGGGTTCTCTGTATTTATAATTGGAGAGACAGACGATGAACTGACATTATCAGCAGTAGTACTGCTATAATTCCCAACAACCCTACCACAGTTCTCGTCCATAAGTCCTGAAGACGAGTCGTTTTCCTCAACAACTTTAATAATTCCCTCCTCTTTGAATGAAGAACCCTTTAGTGGCGATGTAGTTTTGTGATCATCGTCAAAATCACTGGACCGGGAATGACAGCCTGTGAGTTTCTGCACCAAGGCCATGAATTCTTGCTTCTGCGCGTGGATGATCTTTGGAGAATCCGTGTAAATGATTACGGGCTGGCGCTGTTTCTGCTTCGGCGGAGCATCTGATATTGAAGAGGAGGAGGAGGATTTGCGAATGGAATGAGATTCTTTGTTGATCTTCAACGGCGACGGACGCTGGCCGTTGATGTTGACTATTGACTTCGCAGGGGTCATGGTTTTGGTACAGCTGTTGGAGGCTAGACGAGAAGCAAATGGAGAAGAAATAGAACAGTCTGTTAAATGAAGAAGATTGTTAGGTAATATATATAGAAATACAAGTGTGTGGTTGGGTTTGAATAAAAAGCCCACGATTCTGACCGTTGACAAAAATAAAGGAGCGTTTATTTCTTCGACCGCAGGTTAATGCCATACCAACAATATATATTATATTAGATTGAGAAAATTTAATATATCTTAATAATTAAAATATTAAATATTTTAATAAATTGATATATATAATTTAATAACAGAAATATTTAAATATTTTTATAAAAAATATTAATATTTAAAATAATAAGGCATTTTATTTTTTAAATATTATATACTGTATACATATATGTCTGAACAGAAAATAATTAAAAAGTTGAAACTGTGTTTTTGGGTTCATAGCCGACGAAGGTTGCGGCTGCGGCTGATGTACACGCTTATTCGAAGTACACAGAGAGACGTGAAAATAGAAATCAGCTCTTCCGGTTACACATCGGCAGTTGACTCAAATATCTTTCAACTTTTTTTTGGCCTGATTTTGTCGACCAGTGTTATAAAATATTTATATTATAATTATATTAATTAAGTTTATATTATAATTAAATAAAATAATTAAATTAATTAATTTTATAATATAAATACCTTCTTATACAAGCATTTAAATAAATATTTTATATATTCAACAAAATTAATAATTTTCTTCTCTTTATTTTTTCTATCGGCTGGGATCACGAGTTTTGTAATCTTCTTTGGTTTTTTGGGCTAAGACTTAAGGTTACACAGATTGACTTGATTAGAGACTGTGAGGGATCCAAATAACCACTATGCTCAACTCTAAATGTAAATTGTGTTGTATGGAGTATGGTTTTGTTTGAATTTACTATAAAATTCTATAGCAATCTTATAAATTGACATAGTGCATTTACCAAATAATTAATTATAACTATAGAACTTAATCCCCTTCAAAAATATTATAGTTTTTATTTATTTTTTCATTCTAATGATTTAATAGTTAAAATCAACTTTAAAAAAGGAGGAGTAAAAATCGTATTTAAATTTAGGAAGGACAATGTCATTTCTTATCTTAGTAGCATTTAAATTGGTAAAGAGACCGTTGGACATGTCGTTAGTTAGAAAGTAAAAGGATTGAGCCATGTCAGTGTCAGCGTGGAAACATACGCCACATAAAAGTGATGACTAATGAGTTAACGGAAGGGACAGGCCACCTAGCGGGTAAACGCGGCGTGAAGTGAGAATGATGGGGTTTGAATTTTAAGGGCCTTGGTTTAACTTATCGAAACTTTTGTATTTTTTTGTTATTGTCTATAAATAATAAATTTAAATTTTTATTGAAAAAAAATTTAAAAATTATTTTAAAAAAAATAAGTCAAATGTGAAAAAAAAAAGTAAATTTATGAAAAATAA